TCATGGACTTGAATCAGTGCAACAGGACGCTAAAATATAACATTACATAATGTCACAACCAAGATGATGAAAACCCCAAGACTTATAAGGTAGGAACCTATTTTGGGTTATATAATAAAATGACTCATAATTGTTATGAAGTTATTATAGATATGATTATTAAATTACATTTCTGTAACTGAGGAATCATGTGAAGAAATGTGATAGTAAAAATGCATGGGCAAATCTACTATGAAAAACTTTGAAATCCATAGTTTACAAACTGTTAAGAAAGAAGGTTAGTTATAATGTTTGTGAAAAACAGAGGCTTAGCACCATGACAAAGCACCTTACCAGGAGCACATCTCCCATTTCTGTTGCCTTCTTCACGATATGTAACATGTTTTTTATGTCCATCAGATCTCCCGTGTAGTCAAGACCAAAATTCCATTTATCCAGAGTATGAAGAATGAAACGATCATCATTGATCATGCATGACAGGGGGTTCCCCTCATAGTAAGGATTCAGAGTTGTAGCAAACCAATTCCACTGAAACATGTAACACAGACATGCACAATACTCAGAATTATATCAACAACCATTTCATCATCCAACTTACAACAGAAAAGGATTCCTGACAGCTTATTTAATTTGAGGTGAAACTTGGTTACTAACTCTTGGAAAAGAGGAGATTGTGCACATGTGAGACTAATAGTGATTAAGAGATTTGATCATATCAGAGTTGCGAAGATTTAACACTTTGCGGACCGGTGGCATATTTTTATGCCCAGCGCTTTTAAACATGGCGGACCGGTGGCATATTATTATGACTTCAGGACACGTTATGTTGAAACACACTATACCTTGCACTGGTGCACTGCACTGACCTCTTGAATGTTTGCTTCGTAGTCAGTAACATGACCCCGCTGTTTATGACCCAACTGTTTTCCTTTATCACTCCAAAAGAAAATGCCTTTGTTCATCTTCCAGCTGCATGCACCAGGCAGGAAGTTACTAGTGCAAAATGGATCAATGTTGGAAGAGGTTGAGGTCCAAGCATTTTCTCGGAGAACAAGAAATATCTGACTTGTTCTCCGATGAGCTATCTGACATCCCTTGTGAGTCTGTTAGTGATATCGACTCACAATCTGATAGTGAGTGTGGCAGGGGCGAACAAAAAATTGTGGCCACAGACAGTGAAAGTGACAGTAGCTCTGACGAAAGTGCGGGTAGCAACATTGCGGGGACAGCCACATGGGGAAAAGTAGACAAAACGCCTACTTTGGGACAGTTTACAGGAAATCCAGGGGTGAAGCAAATTCCATAGGACCAAACGCAAGTGTATGAATTAGCGGAACTGTTTTTTGGAGATAGTTTCTTTGACACGCTATGTCAGGAAACTAACAGATACTATCTCCAACACCGTGAACATTATGACAGAAGTTATAAGGCATTGAAGTGGGTGGATGTCACTTCAGCAGAAATGAGAAAATTTTCTGCAATAATCTTTCTAATGGGCCATACAAGGAGGGATAATCTGAAAGAGTATTGGTCAACAGATCCATTTTTAGAAATTCCAATTTTTGGCAAACTAATGAGCCATAAGAGATTTGAGCAAATTTGGTGGTGTTTACATTTCAATCATAATGAAATGCAACCACAATCAACAGCAGGCTTTTCAAAATTCAGCCCTTACTGAACTTTTTTCATTCAGAAATTTCAGACAGTTTATAAGCCAAACCAACCACTGTCTTTGGACGAATCTGTGATTCCTTGGAGGGGAAGGCTTTGTATGCAAACATATAATCCTGGGAAACTTACAGAGTTTGGCCTACTTGTTCGTCTAGTTACTGAAAGCACTTCAGGCTATATTGGAAATTTAGAAATTTATTCTGGTGAAGGAAAGAAATTACAAGAAACTATTCTTATAAATTGTGCCATTTTCAATTCATTATTGGTTTACAAATATTTAAACCCTAATTCAAAATTGAAATACAAGGTATTTCTGCTGAATGTGGCAAAAGCCTAGGCTACAGACCACATGGTGGCGGCAGTCACAGTCTTAGTACAACCGCGGCCATCTACTCCCACCCCACGCAGGCCTAATTTTGACCCCCTTGGGCGACTCTCCGGTAATATGCGGAAACATGCTCTCGTGAAAATTGTGAAGAGCGAACATGCCAAGGGGAAGCAGCCTTCTAGGTGATGCCGTGTTTGCACACTATACAACAAAAGGAGTATGACTGTCTACATGTGCAAGTTCTGTGTAATGCCACTTCACAAAGGGGAATGTTTCCAGAAATATCACACTCTCAAGCACTTCTAGGAGCATTGGTAAGTGTTCTCCAAAAATTTTAGTTCATAAAATTAATTAGGAGATTTTATATTAATTTTTAAAGTGAACAGTGCATAAGTTAGGGTAGTAGGTTTAAAAATGCCAGTCCCCAGGGTGATTTAAATATTTAAATTGCTGGTCCACAAAGTGTTAAGACCCTGGCATTCCACACTATGAAACTTTGCAATCTGGTTAAGTGGTCCTCAACATTTTGGAAGAACCTATTTCCACAATCTTAAGTGCAGAAAATGAAAGTAGAACGTTCCTCTGAAACACAGGTAAACACCTATAGGACTACATGGTGTCATAATTCTAAAGACCACAATCTGTACCTTTAGCTGAGACAAATTAATGAAAGAATGGAAGGAAAATTGTATTTTCTGAAAGCAATACAAGTTATACTTCCTCAAAGACAGGCCATCTTCACTAAAACAAATGTTTACATTATGAACAAAACAAAGTTCTGAATGTTTTCATTGTAGATAGTATGCTATCCATAACACACACACACACTAAGGTAGAGAAAGTGCATAACACAGCTGTTTATTTATTTATGGTTAATTTAATGATACTGTCAGCAGCAAAGATTATGTAACACCAAAGAGTTTGTAAACCTTGTCTGTTGTCAGGTATTCTACAGACCACACACCACATTGGAAGATGGACAGAGTTTTGAGGGTTTTCAACTTTGTCCATCCTGCAGTATTCTAGAGGTTCATTAGAATAACTGATGACGGACAACGTCTAAAAACCCCACTAATCATGAATGTTACATCATCCTCAGAACCCTTTAGAATCTACCAGGTTATATAATGTTAACTAATAGGCTGATCAGTGAATAATAAACTGGAAAGGACATGAAAGGAAGCGGTCATGGCCTAATTCATGGAATCAGCCTCACAAATTCTAAGGAGGAATTAAGGAAAACACAAAAGACAGCCAGGACAGTTGGTCTCCAGGAAGAGGAAACATGCTATTCACAGACAATGCAAGACATGCATACAAAGAATTGGTTTGAAAAATGACATGGGAAGGCCCATTTGTGAAACCTATGCAGAGGCCACAGAAGGAAGTCCCATGGAGCAACCTCCTCCAAAACTCCCACAAGCTTCGCCCTCCAGTCATCTAGCCACTGTCGGAACAGATGCTAGTGGCAGTAACAAGCATTCTGGGCTGACTGACTGAGGCCATGGGGTGATACACAACAGTAGATAGAAAGGTGAAAACATCCAGTGCCCCCCCCCATACACAAGCCTGTTTCAATATTCTCAGAACAGGTGTAAAGAGATTGACAGTATTCAAGTGAATGTCACTGACACAGGCTGGCAGGATGTGAACTTCTATTTGCTGCCTCAAGCTACAATTCTGGCAAAACTGATGAACCTTCAAGTTCAGTGGCATATCTATCAGCTGTTTGAGATAGATCCCACAGCGTGCATAGTTGCTGTGCTGACTCTGGATACTCACATCAATGTCAGGGTTGTGCAGCTTCAGGTAATGGTTTAGGGATGTGATGAATGCACCTGGGGCCTCACACAGGTGCACCGAATTCAAGCATCCAGTGTTCACGATAACAGGGGGTACCAGATTGAAAGACATGACATTCTCATAAAACTTGCACCAAGCCTGAAACAAGAAATATGAGAAGAGTCATAATAAAATATAAACAACCAGCATCCTCAGTGATCCAGAGCAATCCTACTGGTACCTGACCAATGCAGTTGTAGAAGTGTTGCTAAATAAATTATGAATCATCTTAGAAATTAGTTTTAACATGTAAAAAGAATGGAAAGAGGGATGTCATATGAACACAATGAGAGATGCCTTGTTATTGTACCTGTGTCAGCAACTCTGGATCCACCTCCTTTCGCAATTTCCACTGGATCTCGCTGGCCTTGTTCATGACACGGGTGTGTTTGTGCCAACTGTTCAGATCGTAAAAGTCCAGTTTGCTCTTCACACTGTTCAGCTCATCCTTGAGCTTCTGCAGTGACTCATCCTGTAAATAAAGTAGAAAGTTTTGTTTAAAATCTCACCAACATATGAGGGGGTACCCAAAAGAAACCGAACTTATTTTTTTTTAAACTTATTTATTCAAATTTTAAGCACAAACCTTCAATCCCCTTCAAAGTACTCTCCACTTACACTAATACACTTGTCTAGTCTTTTATTCCATTTTTCAAAACATTGTCTAAATACATCTTTTGAGATGCTTGACAGCGCCTCTGTCGTTTTTTCCTTTCATGTCTCTTTCCATTCGAGGAAACAAAAAAAAGTCGCATGGGGCAAGGTCGGGTGAGTATGGAAGGTGAGGAACACGGGTCATACCATTTTTAGTCAAGAATTGTCATACAGACAGGGCTGTGTGAGCAGGGGCATTGTCATGATGGAAAAACCAGTCACCCGACTGCCACAAATCTGGCCGCTGAGCTCCAAGTCACTCCCGACAGCTCCACA